TCTAACCGTCAAATGATCTCAAGGAGATAAATTCAAATCAAGAAGGTCAATATATAATTTTTACAAGAGCCAAACTATAGCTTACCCACTTAAATTAAAAAGGCTAATAACAAGTAGCCCCTTAAAAAGTAAAACTTGAAAACTTGTACTTACTAAGTTAATTGTTTAACCGACTAGACTAAGTGATCCCAACACAAAAAAAAATAAAAAATAAAAAAAAATCTATACCATATAGGTGTTGGCAGACCCGGAGAGCTCTTGAGCTTCAAAGTCTACAAGCTAGACAACAAAAAATATTTATGTATTTACTTGGGAAGTCTTATTTTATGTTATTGCCAACTGGTTTGAAAACATATTATGAATTGCTCGCACGTTTCTTCTCACTATAAAAAGGACAATGTTTTTGATCTAGCTCTACCACTTCCAAACACCGAAATCAAAATATAGCCATTATATTGTTAAGTTATTGAAAAAATCTTTTTCCTAAAAATGGCTATTTCAACTTTCCTTCTTCCTATGGTTTTGTCTCTTTCCCTCGTACAACTCGCGTACGCACAATCCTTGGATCAAGGGTTTTATGCGAAGACATGCCCCAATGTGGTCGGCATTGTTAAACGCACCACGGCTAGTTTCATTTCTCAATCGCCCAGCCTTGCAGCTTCGTTGTTAAGATTGCATTTTCACGATTGTTTTGTTAGGGTAAGCTTGTTATATATATATATAGGTTCAAATGCGGGCAGTGTTTTCTGTATGGTCAGTGCGAATTCACCATTAAGCATGGAAAAATGCATCACATAGCATTTGGAAATGCACCACACCTAATGGTACATTTTTAAACACGTTTTGGTGCATTTACACGTACCTAATGGTGAGTGACTACACAGCCGCATGGAAAGCACTGTCCGCATGGGAACTGACCATATATATATATATATATATATATATATATATATATATATATATATATATATATATATATATATATAGAGAGAGAGAGAGAGAGAGAGAGAGAGAGAGAGAGAACAAAAAAGTCTCTAAGCTAATTTCTTAACTATATTTGCTAACAGGATGTTGGACTCGGCTCTCGGAGTCGACACCCAATAATCCCTTCCCAGCATCTCTCATATCTATTATAATACTAATTGTTAGATCAGACGATTATCATTGTGCCAATGTCATGTTTCGATAATAATTGCTAGACTCGGGCCTCTAAGCTAACTCCCAACACCAGTCACTTTTCTTTAGTGGTCCAAAATTCAGACTACTTCCAACCACCTTTCCATTGGTGGTTGAAAAAAGTCATAAAATTTTTAAATTTTCAATCAATTTTTAAAATTCGGGTATCACCCGAACCAAACCGACGCCCACCCCTATTTATAGTTATACTTGACAGTACTATGGTCAGATCAATTGAACAAGATATCTATAAAAATCGAAATTTACTTATTTTTGTTAGGGATGCGATGGTTCTGTGCTACTAAACTCTACAAATGGCATCCCAGCTGAGAAAGATGCAATCCCTAACCAAACCCTTAGAGGCTTCCAGGTCATTGATGCTGCAAAAGCCGCTTTGGAAGCGGTTTGTCCCGGTGTTGTTTCTTGTGCTGACATCTTGGCGTTGGTCGCCCGAGATGCGGTCACAATGGTAATGAAACTTGATTATTTTAAATAACTAATTAGAAATAAATTTCACTTACTTAATTGGGATGCTATATATATTTAAGTGCAGATCAATGGACCATACTGGGCTGTTCCTTTAGGGAGAAGAGATGGAGTAATGTCACATGCCTCAGAAGCCTTAAACGATCTGCCAGCCCCTTTTGCCGACATTAACGATTTGAAATCAACTTTTGGAGCTTTGGGATTGAGCGTAAAGGACCTTGCTGTTTTATCAGGTAAAATATTCATATATTTAATACATTTCTTTCATTTTATTCTCGAAAATAAATATGTAAGGGTGTTTTGATAAATAGTTGTTAGCTCTTAGCTGATTGAGTTAGTGAGTTGATAGCATTAATTGATTGTACAAAGATGTTTGGTAAATTAACTATTAGCTGATAGTTGATTACATGCAAAATGACTTTCTCAAAAATCTTATCGAAAAAGTTACTTTGAGCAACTTTTTGAATTTTAGCATTTTGGAACAATAAGCTATCCATATATATTTTCTCAACGTATTGAAGCACAAAGAACCAATGCCCTCACTGGGGTTCGAGCCACAGAGACGTCATTGAGCTACAAGCTATTTAGCGCCCTACGTAAAACTTAAATTGCTGTGAATTCAAATTTTTTCTCAAACCTCCCATCTCTCCCTTCCAAAGTTGGCAAATTATTGTGTGGACCATGGTCTACACAATGTTACGTGGACCATAACAAAAAGTACATTTTTAATATATTAAATGTACATTATTTTTATATTGAATGTACAATATACAATATAATGTACTCTCAATACAAAAATAATGTACATCTCATGAATACAATGTACATTATTTTACAGTATAATGATTGTCCAAAATCAGCTTCTCTTCCCTCCATCCAAGCAAAGCAAAGCCCAAAAAAAAAAAAAAAAAAAAAAAAAAAAAAAAAAAAAAAAAAAAAAACTATTGTTGGTGATGTTCCAAATTTGTCAATTTTTCATAAAAATATGTTCTAAAGTAAACTTGTATGAATGTATATAATGTTTTCTCTAATTTCCTCTCTTTTGTTTTTACCGTGTGGCCTGGTAAATAGGAGGACACACCATAGGGATTTCACACTGCCCTCCCTTCTCCGACCGGTTATACAACTTCACCGGCAACGGCGACACCGACCCAAGCATGGACCAGGCCTACATACAGCAGCTAAAGGCGAAATGCCCGCCGGGAGACGTGACAACCACCGTGGAAATGGATCCCGGAAGTTCAAGAATCTTCAACACAGGTTACTTTACTGCTGTGAGCGCAAGAAAAGGGCTATTCGAATCCGATGCAGCTCTTCTCAATGACGCTGAGACAAAGGCCTATGTCCAACAACAAACGAACTCTGCTACCTCAACTTTCCTTAAAGACTTCGCAGCGTCAATGGTGAAGATGGGCCAAATCGGAGTCCTCACCGGCACGGCTGGAGAAATTAGGAAGAATTGTGCTCGTATAAATTAGACCAGTTCAATAGAACTTGGGTGTCGAATATTTGGGACAGCTCTCTCAAAAGTGTTTAAGAGTAAAATTTGTTGTTTTCTGATAGTATTTTGGCATTATTTTCATTGGTTTGGTCGGTGAGTTTTGAACGTGTGGAATTTGTTTTAATTTCTAATAAAACATTCATTGCTTTATAATTTTTGTGTATGATGGATACTATGCTTATTGCTGTAACTCTGTAAGTCAAGCTTAATCATATAGTTCTTTGCCTATCTGGTTAAAATAAATTGGTGATGAGTAGGTGGACATTAACCACATCCCTCCACCCCTCTATGGTAAGTCACAGCGTCACGTCTCGAATCAAGCAGGGGCTGAACTCGGCCGACACCTAGTTGCGTGCCTAACTCTGCATGTAGACACTTAAATTTTGATAAATATTGATTATTTATCAATATTAGTATATTTGAGTATATTTAAAATATTTTGGATAATATTGATATTATCTAATTTGTTAATTAGATAATATCAAAAGAGTTTGAGCTTATTATCAAAACTCTCTATCCTACAACTATAAATAGGGCCTTTCATTTCTACGTAATCACACACATCCTAGGAACAATTCATAGAAACATCAAGTTTATTCAGAGATCACAATAAAAAATGTGATCCTGAAAGTAAAAGTCCCTCCTCCATAATGATCATGCCTATGCCTATTGATCCAAACCTCCATTGAAGAATCAAGCCATTTGAACCCGGAGGCCCTTCAAGAAGAACAAGATATATATACAAGCCCTTCTTTGAAGATCAAGCCACTTGAAACCCGGAGGCCATTCAATGGTGGAGTGTTCAAGGCATCAAATTGAAGAATCAGAGGACATCCAGAGATTTTGTACCCACACAACATTGATACTTGATATGTAACTAAAATTTTGAATATTACTAAATTTTATTCAATTTTCTTTGTTCACACCGCCCTTAGTATTTGAATTCGAACCCGTGACCTCGGCTCTGATGCCCATTGATAGATCTGAGCGCTGCACTATGCTCACTTCCCAATGGGTCACCAATCCTGATTATCGTGCTGTAAGTTAAGCACGCTTAACCACATAGTTCTTTGACTATCTGATTGTCATATCTTATTTAAAATCAATTGGTGATAAGTAGATGGACATTAATCATTTAAACCACATCCCTGCATGGTAAGTCACAGCGCCACGTCCCGAATCAAGCAGAACTCGACCGACCAAACCGACGGCCAACAATATATATTTTTTTTTTAAAAAAATGTTGCATGCATTATTCTAAGGTGAAATGCCTTTTTTTCTTTAATTAAGGTTGAAAGAAAGCATGATCACCTACTATTAGTCGCTAGAGCACTGCGATTTCAAGCTGAGCATTTATGGACTTATCTCATCAACAGATTATCCTCTGCTGTCATTGACAATCAGATATCATACCAGTTGGTGTTTCGAAAACCACCCCAATACCACCATTTAAAGGTATTTGGTTGCTTAACCTATGTCGTGATCTTTGGTGATCATAAAACAAATTAAAGTTCTCTTCTAGGGCAAGAAATGCATATTTAATTTATAAGTTATTCCAATGGTGTCAAAAGTTATAAGCTCTATGCTTTACACACAAAGGGAATTTTTGTGTCTAGAGATGTCACATTTTATAAGCATTTGTTCGCTTTCTCGTCTAGAAAATGCATGTGGGGCGACAGTAAAGTCACTGAACAAAGTCATAACAAATTTTACCAAATAATCAAATTAAAAATTATTACAGAAAGCGTCAAAGTAGCAAAATAGAAAACAATATAATGGTAAAGTACAATGGACCACACACAGTAAATCTAGTTACTTTTTTTTGAAAACAGTAAATCTAGTTACTGATGAGGTTATTTATACAATCTTCATATCCTCAACATAAATCCCACACCACACAACATTATTGAAAACATGGGACAAATCAAAATTCAGCTGTTAATTTACAACTGCACATTGTTTCCTGATCTCACCATCCGACCCTGTTTTCACCTGAATCCTCCCAAGTTTCTCCACCGACGTCGCGAACTCGGCATAGAAATCCTGCAGTGACCCCTGAGCTAGCTTGTCGATGAACGACTTGGTTGTCGGGTTGGTTAACAAGGCTGCATCGGACTCGAAAAGCCCCCTTCTTTTCAGCACCAATTTGTAGTAGCTAAGGTCAAATGTTTTGAAACTCCCAGGATCCATTTCTACTATGGTTGTATTGTCGTTAATTGACTTGCATTTTCTCGCCTTGAGAACCGTTGCATACTCGCTGTCGAGCGATGGATCTTGGGTGCCAAAAACCCCGGTGAAGTTGTATAGACGATTCGAGAAAGATGAACAGTGAGAGATGCCAATTGTATGCGCACCTAATATTTTTCAACAACAATTGCAATTAGTAGTATAGCTTTCATAATCAAACGCTTACCACTAAATCAAAAGTTATAGTTTACTTTATTTCCAGCATACTGTAGGATCAAACGTTTATCAGCCAAAACTATAACTGTATCTTCGATACAATTTTATTTCCTTATATTTATTTAGCAGTCAGCATTATGGTAGCTGGACTCGACCGCCCAACCGTGTAACTCTGAATTTAAAAATAATTTACTCTAACTAGATTGAGATTAAGACTAGACTGCAGCATGATTAAGCATTTATTACTATGTCAAAAGTTATATAACCGGTAACAAAGCACAATTTATTTTTCGTGTAGCAGTCAGCACCAGATTTTGATGACAACTTGACTCAGCTGCCCAATAGTAATGATGAATTTAAGAATAATTTACTCTAACTAGATTGAGATTAAGACTCGATCGAGTTACCAGATAATAAGACGAGGTCCTTGAGGTCTAGCCCTTGGTTGGCAAAGAGGGTTTGGAGAACAGTGAAGTTGCTAAACGGAGGTGGGATATTGTTGAGAGCTTCCGTGGCGTTGGATATCCGGCCGTCTCTCCGGCCGGTCGGAACATTCCAGTAAGGACCACCCTATCATTTTCCGATGAAGAACAAGACAGTGATGGTTCATGGGAAAAAGCTAAAAAAAACAGAATGTTTTCATTAAGACTAGTAATAATAATACTTACAATGACCAGAACAGAATCTCTAGCAGCCAAGGCAAGAATATCAGCACAAGACACAATTCCGGGACACTCTTTCTCCACTATCCTCTTTATCCCATCAATGAATCCAAAGCCTCTCAGTGTCAGATTCGGGTTAGCCGTCTTTTCTGTCTGGTTTTTTGTTGCTGAAGTGAAGTTCAGAAGAACAGACGCATCACATCCCTTCAAACAAAACAAAACAAAACAAAACAAACATTATCAGCAGCACAGAAAAAAGACAGAAATGTTTTTAAGGTTTATAATAAACATAATGTTAGTTTCTATAATATAATTACCCTGACAAAGCAATCATGGAAATGCATTCTGATCATGGCTGCTGCTAAAGATGGAGCATTTGGGATGTGCTCTTTCACATATTCTTCAACCAGTTTCTCTGCTTTTGGGCAAGTCTGGGCATAGAAGTTCATCTTTAGCTGAGCATGAACAGATCCCACAATAATTCCTAGAAAACACAAGATTACAAACCCAAAATAGCAAAATTTAGCCATTTTTAGTGTACTTGTAACTTCTCAAGTACTAGAAACTTTCGATCTTAATTGGGTTTCTATATTCTTGTGCTATCTGGACCGGAAAGCCATGAGAGTATTTATAGGCACTCAATGTAACGTTAATGGCAAGCCCGACAATCGTTAAGCTAATTTTTCTATATTATATATTTAAATGGTAAAAATAAAAAATAATATTTTTATAACAGGTTGCGCCAAAAAGTTGAAGCCATCAACTTTTAACTACTTATATATACAAGTAATACAACTAACATTTTGTAGGCGCGATGTGCGAAAATATATGCTCAATATTAAAATATTCTTAAGTAACAAAATTTAAAAAATTAATTAAAATTATATTTCATAATTTCTTAAAGTGATGATATTTTGAATTATCATATTTGAATAATATAGTGATCAAAACCAAAAAAAATATTAAAAAAATTATATTTTTATATAATAATAATTTACACAATTTTTATAAAAAATCTATAATACTAAGCTAACACCCACATATATGATATATTGATATGTTATATTTTTTTTGTGCATTTCCTAATATTGTTGGTGCATATTTGCATAATTATATTGGTGCTACTGCACTGACCGCACGGGAAGATACGACCACACTTGAACTCTACTATATATATATATATATATATATATATATATATATATATATATATATATATAAAATAATCATTACGTAGGTTCATTAAATGATTAGTGCATGCCAATTAAGTCACAATTGTTTTTTTTTATACAAGGAACACTTTCATTAAATAATCATAACTATCCTTGCGGACGTATTCCACAAGCGTGGCATTGGGGCAAAAATATAACAAAGCCAACTCATAATTCGGAGAATAGTTCTTCACAAGTCAATCCGCAACATGGTTTTGTTCCCTCAAAATGTGACTGCATCTAGCGTTCCAATTTTTGTTAATCCAAGCTTTGCACTCAAATATGATATTAAGTTATTATTGTAAGTTTATTAAGTTACTATTGCAGGTTCATTCATCAACTTTCTATTACAAGTTCATCAACTTATTACTTCAAGTTTATCATGTCACTATTACAAATCCATTAAATTACTACTACAGGTTCCTATAAGATGTAGTTTCACCTTTAATTTTGTCACAACTCACAAGTCTATCATGTCACTACTACAAATCCATTAAATTACTACTACATGTTCATAAACTCATTATTGTAAATCCATCCAGACATTACTACAAGTTTATTAACTTACTATTACCTATTCATCATCAACTTACTACTACATGTCCATAGAGTCATTACTACATATTCATTAAGTTACTATTATAGGTCTATTATACAATTATTGATACGATAGTATTGAAAAAAAAAAAAAATCGATATGGATGTCATTTGAAATATTTTAACGAAATATTATATTTGTAAAAATATAATTTTCATATACTAATTTTATTTATACAAAATGAAAAAGAGAATAATATGTTTAATTGATGATTGATTAATTAGTGATGTTTTGATGAACTTGTAATATTGTTTTAATGAATATTTACTTATATTTGATATATATATATATATATATATATATATATATATATATATATTCAATTTTTTTATGAACAACGTATTATTTTAATAAACTTAGGTTCATCATGTGGAAGTTCAAACAATTGTTATGTCATGGATCAACGTTTATATTGCATTGTGAATTTTGATCTAAAAATTATGTGTTTCTAGTTAATAGATATTGTATCTATCGTTAACCGTTTCGATACCTATAAACAAAATGAAAACACATAACATGATACTTATAAACACATAATATGATAATTACAGACACATAATAAATTGTTAACTGCAAGATATAATATGTTAATTGCAGACGCATAACATGTTAACCAACATCTTATGTGTCTGTAATTAACATATTTTGTACTTGTAGTTAACAGTTTATGTGTTTGTAGTTATCATGTTATGTGTCTGTAATTACTATGTTATGTGCCTTAATATATTATAGGTGCATAAATTGTTTATTGCATGTACAGAATGTATTAACTGCAAGTATAAAATCTTAAAGTTATTTTTAAACTAGAGTTCAATCACAATTCAGTGTAGACTCTGGTCCATGGTATAATTTGTCAAGTTCAAACTCGTGGCCCAAACTAGTATGTTGTATGTGTTTGTGTTTTACCTTGTGCTCATACGGCATGTAGTGACTCTCCCATGTGGGAGGTCATAAGATCGAGCCTCAGTGGAAGTGGTGTTGACTCTTTGTGCTTCAACATGTTAAGAAAGTATAAAAAAAAATATTAATTTATGATTAAGATATATATATATATATATATATATATATATATATATATATATATATATATATATATATATTTTTTTTTTTTTTTTTTTTTTTTGGTTCTTGTGAGAACAGGTCTTCCCGTGCGGTCAGTTCGACATACACTATTAGGTATGCATAAATGCACCATACAGTGCTCGAGAATACACCATGAAATGCCAAAAAATGCACCACAAAAAAAAAAAAAGAAACACATAATGGTGTATTTTCGAACACTGTGTGCTGCATTTATGCATACCTAATTATGTATGCCGCGCTGACTGCACAAGAAGACCTGTTCTGACAGGAACCTGACCATATATATATATATATATATATATATATATATATATATATATATATATATATATATATATAAACCTTTGTAGGCTTGTATAACTTGGGACAATCCCAGTAGAATATTTAAAATTTGGATAAAATTGTTTCAATACACAAAATTTTGAACTTTTTTTCAACTGATAATTAAGTTTAAATTTGTTAAATAACAACATATTTTTATAATTTTATATCTATCAACATCACGTTACACTCAATAATTTATTGTGGGTATGTGTGAAGCTCATTAGTACAAGTTTATGTATCAACGCCCAACGGATCGGATCAAACTCTGCAAATTATATCATGAATTACGATTCACCTTATATTATGGGTCCTAATTTAAAACGATGTTTTTATTTAAATTAGTCTGCATGGTATTTTTTTTCTTTTCCTTTTGTTTAGTCAATACTCACATTTGCAATATATACATAATTTATTAACTGTAAATACATAAACTTAAATTTGTAAGTATATAATTAACTATAAATATATCATGTCAAATAATTTTAAAAAATGTTCAATATAAGTAATCAACTTAAAGTTAGAGATTCAGAAATTGAGTGTCAATACTTTATGAAGCTAGGCTGTCTCTAACTAATCTGTGCTTAGTTTAGTTCCTCTCCAAAAAAAAAATAATAATAAATGAAAATAAATTATTTGACCATTAGAAAAAAAAATGATTAGTTGAAAGACGGTCTTTTCTTAACCGAACATCTTCGTACATTAACAAATATATTATTATTATTATTATTATTATTATTATTATTATTATTATTATTATTATTATTATTATTATTATTATTATTATTAATTATTATTATTATTATTACATATTTTCTTGACCAATCACATATGACGTCCAGACCATCTCATCTACACCCGTATTAGTAAAACATATTATTATCTTGGATATTCAAGTGTACATGCTCAATATCATCCAAGAAAATAAAGAAATAAAATTAAGCCTGATCAGATCAGAACTCGAGTTCAAAATGAATTATATTTATATAAAATTAAATAAATAATTAAGCTGGATAAATGATATACTTTGACCGAGAGATATCATGCATATATAGAGATTGTTAATTAATGAGGCAAGTAGAACTGTTTCATATCTAAAACTATATCCCATCACCTACTCCAGGCCATAATGCATCCAAAGAATAACGATTATAATACTAAGAAATGAATAAATTAGTACATATATATTGATTAAAATATTATATTTCTGGCAGCACGTTACTACGATGTTTGATTCGTAGGGTGTATAACATAGTAACATGCAGAATGCATGGAATATATATTGCTCCGAAATAAATTCATTAACTTTTAACTTTAATGCTGGTCCATATGTAACTTAATCTGTACCACCAAAAAAAAAATTATTGTGATTAAATTATATATATTCAAGACTATTTTTCTGCCTATGTGCCTCTTGCTTTGTTTTAGGCCTATGTGTCATTATGTTTTGTGTGCCATTGCATTGTATGTACTTCAGACTTGTGCGCCACTCCACTCTCTGCTTTTTTATTTTAAATAACACTTCATCCTCCTTTAGTTATAGTTTGCGAGCCTGTATGTCTCCTTATAGCTTACTTGGCCTTTGGATCACTTATATCATTTTGACATACTCAGAGAGTAATCGTTATATTGCTCAAGTTTTAATAAATTTTGGGCATTCTTAGTACGTTTATCTCGCCTGGCCGTGCATGTGGCCTTGTGTTTATGTTGTTGGCTATTTTGTGGTTGCGACTTGGGCATGGCCCCTTTCTTGTTAGACTAGATTTAGTTTACTTTAAACCTAGGAATTTTTGTTTATTTTGGTTAAGTGTTGGTATGGCCAATTTGTGCGGGCCTTAACTTTCTTAGGCACTCGTTGATTTAGAGTGAGCTTCTCTTAGGCTTGAGGCCTACTCCCCTTGACTTTGTATATACTGATTTTTGAATTAATGAATTGATGATTTTTTGAAAAAAAAAAAAAAAAAAAAAAAAGACTTTAAAAAAAAAAAAAAGTTATAAGAATCTCATACAACTCAAACAAGCTAAGGGTTACAAAATGATTTCATTCGCATTTGATGGTGTATATACTCCATGAGGAATTCACTCTTCTTCTATACTCCATGAGGAATATAATAATCTCATATTTCACTCTTCTTCTATTTTTCATGAGGAATATAATAATCTCATTTTCACTCTTCATCTATATTCCATGAGGAATTCACTATGTATTGTTACGAATACGAGTGAATTCAAACCATCCCTTAAAATAGTGAGCAATTGTGTTCAAAAGCTACCATCCCTTAAAAAATCAATGTAAAGCTTCTCATGCATTTTGGTCTTGTTGTCAAGATTTCGTAAACCTTTAACGACTCCTTTTTAATAGATCCATGG